CTGACGGCACAGATTGGCGGCACTAAAAGGCATAGATTGTCGGCACTGACGGACACAGATTGGCGGCAATGACAGGCACAGATTGGTAGTACTGACAGCACAGATTGGCAGCACTAACGGGCATAGATTGGCAGCAATGACGGACACAGATTGATGGCAATGACAAGCACAGATTGGTAGTACTGACAGCACAGATTGGCAGCACTAACGGGCATAGATTGGCAGCACTGACGGGCACAGATTGGCAGCACTGTTGGGCACTTTTCACAGGTGCCGGTTATCGACAGTACTTTCCTCACGCTGTGACGTGAGGAGAGTACTGCAGAAAACCGGCAAGTATGTTTAGATGGTGGTCAGCTGTGGTTGGACACAACTGATCACGTGGCAAAAGGTTGCTGTGATTGGCCCTTTACCGAGTCATGTGATCAGATGTGTACAAAGGACACCGTGATCACAAAGCGTCGGCTGTGGTTCAGAAATGACATTCACTGTAAAGTCGAATGTTTAAAGCAAACAACAATTTTTGAACGACATTCGTTCATTCATCGAACATGCAAAGGATTTTCATATGACTGTCCATCTGAATATTCTCCTCTGAGAATCTGTGTATGACCAGCTTAGCTCTGAGCTTGCTCGATGCAGCGTGCCATTGGGCCCCCCAGCATTGCACAGTATTGGTAAATCTCAGAGATTGTACAGATCAGATTGGAAGGTGTATGGCAGCTTTACAAACCGCTCCCATAGAAAGTGAATTACAGTGTAAGGCAGTCCCGTGTCTTGTCACCGCAGTAGCTCTACTGCATAAGTGAAAGAAGGACCGACATCGATACTATTTATATATCGGGCCCTTTAAAGAAAGTACGATCACGTGCCCCCATCCCTGCAATGACAGCCCAGCTCCCCTAAACCAATCGCTATTCGGAAACCTTTATGTAGACAGCAAGGCCAGCCAATCACCAGACAATAACGCTTCCTCCAATCAGCTATCAGCTGGGCGTCAGCCAACAGACTACCGGTAGTAAGGCGTGTCCAAAGTAGCCAATGGTGACCTCGGAACGTAACCTCGTAGCCCGCCTCCACGCTGAATGACGTCGGCTTTGACCAATCGTCGCTCCGACATCTTCTACAGTCGCCCGCACGGAGCAAGGTCAGCGGTAGCTGTCAGGTAAGAACGGGAATTTCTCTTACGGGACTGGCTACTAACCCGAGTGGGAGATAGGGGAGAAGAGGCCATTACAGTGCCGCTCAATGCAGTTTTGATTTTCGTCCGCTTGTTACTCCCATAGGCGACTGGAAGGCTAAACAGGAGAGATGTACCCCGTGGAACGCACAGCTAGTAGCGATTGCGCATGCTCTGTCTGTCACATGCAGCTACGGAGCATGCGTGGAAGGCTGTGGAAAGCATTGCGCATGCGCAATAGCTTGGGTTATGTCCTACTTCACCCTATTTAAAGTTACTAAACCCCGGACCCTGCATTCACTATATCCGCTCTCCCCGAACCCTGCTTTTATTTATTATTTATTTCAGGTACTTCTATAGCGCTGTCAATTTACGCAGCACTTTTACATATATATTGTACATTCACATCAGTCCCTGACCCTCAAGGGGTACAATCTAAGGTCCCCAACTCCCATTCATACATACACATACTAGGGACAATTTAGACAGCAGCCAATTAACCTACCAGCATGTCTTTGGAGTGTGGGAGGATACCGGAGTACCCGGAGGAAACCCACGCAGGCACAGGGAGAACATGCAAACTCTAGGCAGGTGGTGCCGTGTTTGGGATTCGAGCCAACGACCCTAGTACTGCCAGTCGGAAGTGCTAACTATTTAGCCACTGTGCTGCCCATTCACTATACCCGCTCTCCCCGCATTCACTCTACCCCGCTCTCCCCGCACCCCGCATTTCAGTATATCTGCTCTCCCCGCACCCCGCATTTAGTATATCTGATCTCCCACAGTACACAGAACACGTATTTTAGTAAATATGAACTGCTAAATGCCTTTTCTCATTAGCAGTTAGAGAAGTCTTGTGACTTTATCAGTTTCCAGCACATCACTGGTTAAAGATCGTAGGAGGAGTTTTCATTCTCCCCTGATTGTCCTATGAGGCTGCGTAACCCCTGACCTCTGTATGGACAGTGCTGATCGGCCCTGTGCTGATCACATACACTCTCCCAAGAAAAAAAAAAACTCTAGCAGTACAAACCAAACTGAGCATGTGCAGCTTGCCCCCAAGGCTCTGTTCTATCATCAGATGGGTTAGGGACAGTGGAAGGGGAGGATCAGGGAAGACAGGATCAAACCGCCTTTTTACATAATGCAGAGGATTAACCCCTTAGGTTCCACAATAAGTATAACAAGCATGCTTCAGTGCATATACAGACTGATGTTATTGTTGTGAGTTTAGTAACACTTTAACTGCTTCCCAACTGCGCTATAGCCGAAAGACGGCTACAGCGCGGTTGTCTAGTTCTGGGAGGGCATCCATGGACACGCCCCCCTACATGCACCCGACGCCACCTGTGATCGCTATGTATTACGGACACAACTGATGACATGATGTAGTGAAAGGCCAATCGCAGCGGTCTTTTACCACGTGATCAGCTGTGTCCAATGACACAGCAGATCACCAGGTAAATACAGTTGTTGGTTATCGGCACAGCGTGAGGAAGGTACTGTCGATGACCAGCAATTGTCAGAGAAGTGATCAACACTGATCATCAGGGCACTGATGATCAGTGCCCAGCAGTGCCACCCGCCAGTACCCTCCACCTGTGCCCAGCAGTGCCACCCACTAGTACCCTCCACCTGTGCCCAGCAGTGCCACCAGTCAGTGCCACCTCATCCGTACGCAGCATTGCTGCCTCTCTCTGCCACCTCATCATTGCTGCCTATCAGTGCAGCCTCATCAACGCACATCAGTGAAGGTGATTAAATACCACAAAAAGAAAGCTCTGTTTGTCTGAAAATAATGATACAAATTTCATATGGGTACAGTGTTACATGACCGCGCCACTGTCATTCAAAGTGCGACAGCACTGAAAATTGGCCAGGGCAGGAAGTGGGTGGAAGTGCCCGGTAGGCACGTGGTTAAGTATACCTATTAGTGTCATGTCATTGTGTGCCCAAGTCTCCTTCTTTTCAATCACCTCTGTGTTCTATTATTAGTGACCATCTACACTGCTACTTTGGGGTCCTTGTACTGTCCTTACACTTATTGATCCAGATGACAGGACCCAGCAGTCATTTCTTGCTTTTCATTACCCTTTTGCACATTTTCGACTAGTTTTTGTTGCATACATTTGCAAATATAAACCAATCGGCCATAACTTTATGACCATTGACTGTTTACAGTGGATAACGTTGATTATTATTATTATACAGGATTCATATAGCGCAAACAGTTTGCTCAGTGCTTTACTATTGTATTGTAACGGGAGACAACACAGCAATAATACAGTTCAATACAAGAGGGATAGGAGGGCACTTACAATCTAGGAGGGAGGGGCTAGTGGTACAAAAGGTAATAACTGTGGGGGATGGACTGGTAGGAAGAGTAGAAGATTCCGTTATTAGCTGAGGGCAGGATAGGCTTCCCTGAAGAGATGGGGTTTCAGAGATCACCTAAAAGTGAACAGAGTAGGCGATAGTCTGATAAATTGGGGTAGAGAGTTCCAGAGGATGGGGGAAGCTCTGGAAAAGTCCTGGAGATGAGCATGGGAGGAGGAGACAAGGGAGCTATAGAGCAGGAGGTCTTGCGAGGAGCGGAGAATATGGTTTGGGTGATATTTAGAGACAAGATCGTTGATGTTATTTGGGGCAGAGTTATAAATGGCTTTATACGTTATCGTTAATGTTTTGAATTTTATCCGTTGGGCAATGGGAAGCCAGTGGAGGGATTGGCAGAGAGGGGTGGCCGATATGGAATGGTTAGTAAGGTGGATGAGTCTGGCAGCAGCATTCATGATAGACTGAAGAGGGGATAGCCTGCAATGAGGTCGGCCAATGAGGAGGGAGTTACAATAGTCAAGGCGAGATATAACAAGGGAGTGAATAAGTGGCTTAGTGGTTTCCGAGGTTAGAAACGGGTGTATCTTGGAGATGTTGCGGAAGTGAAGTCTACAAGATTTGGACAGTGATTGGATTTGGGGCTGAAAGGACAGATGGGAGTCTAGGATTACACCTAGTACCCTGGCATGAGGGGAGGGAATGATGATTGTGTTATTGATCTTGATGGAGAAGTCAGGGGAGGGGGCACGGGCTGGGGGGAATACTAAGAGCTCAGTTTTGGAAAGATTGAGTTTGAGGAAGTGGAGTGACATCCCATACCGCTTTGTAGGTTAGTAATGCTAGTGGAGACCGAAGAGGTGAGGGGTAGAGAGATAGATTTGTGTGTCATCAGCATAGAGATGGTACTTAAAGCCATGGGAGTTAATCAAGTGACCAAGGGGAGGAGGTGTAGATGGAGAAGAGTAGGGGTCCAAGGACAGAACCTTGAGGGACCCCTACAGAAAGAGGGAGTGAAGAGGAGGAGCCAGAGTTATAGGTAACGCTGAAAGAGCGCTGCGATAGGTAGGAGAACCAGGAGAGAGCGGAGTCTCTGAGACCAAGAGAGTGGAGTTTTTTGAGGAGGAGGGGATGGTCAACAGTATCAAAAGCCGCAGAGAGGTCAAGTAAGAGTACGGAGTAGTGGCCATTGGTTTTAGTAGTTAGTAGATCATTAGTGGTTAGTGGAATAGTGCCCAAAGGGCCAGATAAAGGCAAGCAAAGGGCCAAATCCGGCCCCCGGACTGCAGTTTAGAGACCACTGCTTTAGACCATTGACTCGGTCACTTTAAATTCAGGAGCTGCTTTTTAGCCACCAAGCCAATTCCCTGCTGTAGGTCCTAAGACACGCCTTGACTTTATTTACACAGAGAAGTGTTTTGTTCTTTGCTGGTTTTATTAAATTTGTGCAATTGTATTCCTTACTGTTATTGCAGACAACGTGAGCATGCTGGGCGCGCGTCTCATATACAACGCTGCCAGGCGAGCAGGTAAGCAGCTTTCTGTCTCATTAGTTAGGCAAAAACTTGACTATAGTTTATCTATTTATTAAATTTTGTCTGTTTATTCCTATTTCTGCACAAATACATGCTTTACTACTAAAGCACTAAGGGGTTTCTAAAGGACCCCACAAAAGCTATCAAAATGAATAAAATCTTGCGCACTTCTATGAATAAAACAAACGTACTTGTAGTGATAGTGAAAAATACTGTAGCCTGAACAGTTTAGTAGCCTCTATTGCACACAACCCTTATCTCATATAAGGCAAAATCAATAATATAGTGAAACCAGTGCAGCGCTACACACCAAAAACAACCTAAATCCAAATGTGTTAAAGAAAATCATTTAAATTTGTAACAAATAGTCCAAAAACTTTTGTTCTTTCTGGTGCTCCCTTCCTCCTGTGATCACAAAGTGCTTCAAATACAAGAGTGCATAATTCCACCAGATGGTGAATGGGAGTTTATTGATCTCCCACCGCTCTCCATTCCAGACAGTCCAGCCATGGTCCTGGGCTCACAGCTTTAGACACCTGAAATTACTTGTACTGAAGGAAAAGCATTCTGATTACCTTCAGCCCAGGTTCATATATATGCAGTTTGGTACATTGCATGTGATTTGCACAGGAACCCGCAGCGCAGTCCTAAGCAAATCACATGCGAATTGTGTGTGGTGCGTTTGGAGCCATACATTTTGTATGGCTCTAATCGCACCGCACCAACACCAAAAAGGTGCAGGATCCTTTTTTTGAGGTCCGCACTAGATTTGGATCGTATGGGTATTCACACCTATGCAATCTGATTCTGCACATTGCAGCATGTTTTGCGGACCGATTTCGGGGTGTTGTGAACTTAGCAGTTCTTATGAACGGGGCGCAATTCTGATGCGGTGCGGAATTCGCACAGAAAACTCTGCAAATTCACAGCATTAGTGTGAACCAAGGCTTAAACAAGCTTGTTTTAACTGTTTGGTTGCCCTGGCGTATACACTACACAACCTTGGAAATTAAGGGATTAAAATTAGAAAATGTAGATAAAGAGAGGTGCAAAGCTACGCCTGGCAAACACAATTTTCTTCATTTCCATCATGCTGACAGAGTGGTTTATAGCATAGGTCCTGGGTGTGTGCCAGTCTATATCTGGGATGTAAGTCTTACATTTCTTTTGACAAGTAAATTTTCTTTTTCTTTTTTTTTTTCTTTTTTTCTTCTCGTTGTCTTTGCAGGTCCACCATGCTCTCAGACGTTGGTCCGTCCTTTCAGTCTGGCTCCTCAGATGCACTCATTTAGTAAGTGAAAGATTAGCCGATGAAGGTGCCACACTGTGATCTACTTAAAGGGTTGGCCCATTCTTAGGTGGAGACTGATGGGTTAGTTTTTACAGTCGGCTTTCTGCATTTCTCTGAGATTGCTGGACTTGAATTAGATTTCTTGATATTTTTATAATCTGATGGATGCAGTAGGCAACATGACACTCTTGGATTGCCAGGAACCTCAAGATCTCATTTGTATGTCCCATGTATATTATCTCTTGCATTTGAATAGTCTCCCACCTGCCAACTGATGGGTGACTATAGACACTTTGACATTTATTTACTAAAGCTGGAGAGTGCAAAATCGGGCTCACATCTCCATAAAAATTAATCGTCTTCCAGGTTTTATTGCCAAAGCTTAAATAACAAGCTGAGGTTAGAAGCTGATTTGTTTCTATGCACTCTCTAGCTTTGGTAAAGAAACCCCTAGCAATAATCAGGGTCTTTTCTTGGCAGCTTCCCGCGCCCCCCCCCCCCTACCCGGAGAACACAATGGCTCGCATGAGGGATCCCCCTGTCAACACTCTGCGGTTGCAGGAAAGAAATTTACTCCATGTCTAGGCTTGCTATAGTCACCTAATTGGATAATATAGGAGCCGCTGCACATTGATCACAACTGTTTCCCATTCTGTACACATGTCTAACCGGGATAGGTTAACCGTACGACAGAAGTCAATGAATTCTTCACTCTGACCCTCTCTCATTCTGAGCTCTGCTGTACAGGGGGTTACAGGAATTTTACAGAGACCATTTTAGGTACTTATGCTAGTATTTGAACCATCGTACATTTAATGATTGTGTTAGTGAGCCCATAACTGGGGAAAAAAAGGTTTGTTCTACATATGTACCTAGAACTTCAGGCAGATGCAAAAGAACACAATTTAACCGCTTCCCTGCCGCCCTATAGTAGAACTACTGCTGCAGGGCTGTGCAAAATCGTGTGTGTGTTTTGCATTGCCGCGTATGGTGCATGTGCCACCCTACCCCCACTGATGGCAACGGATGTCGATCACCGGGTCCTAGCTGGAGATTCCCTGTTGGCACCCGGTGATTGCCGTATGGAACTAACAAGGGAGAGACCTTGTGTAAACACAGGTTTCTCTCCTGCCAGCAAGGACATGCTGCTGTGTATTTATCTGCACAGCAGGGAAATACACAGCAGCATGTCTCCGTAGTAAAACACACAGCACATAATGTAAAAAAGCACACAGCTAACCCTTTGATCGCCTCAGATGTTTACCCCTTCCTGCCCAGTGTCATTAGTACAGTGTCATTGCTTTATTTATTAGCACTGATCACTGTATTAGTGTCATTGGGATGTCCGTGTCAATCAGTTCCCACCCAGTGTCAGAATGCCTGCCCCAGTCCCGCTATAAGTCAATGATTGCCGCCATTACTAGTATTTAAAAAAAAAAAAAACAAAAAAAAAAAAAACACCGTGTATATATACCGCCATTTGTAGACACTATAACTTTCACATAAACCAATTAATTTACATGTATTGGTTTTTTTTTTTTTAAAAGAGAGACATGTAGCAGAAAATATTTTGTCGTAAATTTATTAAGAAGTTAGATTTATTAAAATTTTTACTGGATATGTTTTATAGCAAAAAGTTAAAAGAAATTTTTTTTTTTTCTTTGAATGGTTGGTCTTTTTTTGTTTTATAGCACAAAAAATTAAAACCGCAGAGGTGATCAAATACCACCAAGAGAAAGCTCTATTTGTGGGGGAAAAAAGGACATAAATGCTATTCATGTACAGCATTGCATAACCGCGCAATTGTCAGTTAAAATAACGCAGAGCTGTATCGCATAAAAAGGCCTGGTCAGGAAGGAGGGTAAATCCTTTTGGAGGGCAAGTGGTTAATTCAGTTGTGTATTCCTTTTAAAATATTTACATGTGTTTTGCATACAAGTGTAAGTATCTAATCCTGTTTTTGAACCCTGTTAACCTCCTGTCTTCCCCTGCACAGCATCACTTTGAATTGAAGAACGAACAGCACTAGAAGCCAATTGACTTGAGAAAACAAAAGCAGTTACACCAATCCCTGCAATGTCTGCACTCCCACAGTCCACCAGTGCATGGTCCTGACATCATCAAGACTAGAGCAGAGACCATAGCCCTGCTCTGGGTATGAGGATGCCAAGGGACAGTCCGCCGCTGGATTGTGGGGGAGTGCTGCTTGCAGGGGGAAATGGAGGATCAAGTAAGAAAAACTGTTTCTCCTCCACCATGGACAAAACCAGCAATAAATTCCTGCAGTGCAGGTGCAGCCCTACTGCATGGGATAAAGTTTCTTACTTGGAGAACCAGCCAGTAACAAGCTTTATATTTCATGCAGACAATGCTAAGCTGCTGCCTTGCTATTAGTAGCAGAATTGTCGGCCTTCTGCTCAAGCCTCTCCAGTTGGCCATTGGGTTGCTCATCTGATAGACCAAATAGGTAGACCAGTTGCCAGCTGTAGGAGTACACACAGCACGCCAACATCACTGCTGCTAATTTGGTTCAGGGTTGTCAGTTTGAAACGGCAAGTGCTGTTATGGCAGGATTTCCAAGTAGGAAAACTTGAAACTGATTTACAAAAAATTATCTGCTTATAGAGGATCTCAAACAGCGTAATATAATGAGACCATTTTTAGAATTCTGAACGGCCTGGGGTACTCCTGGGATAGAACAGGAAAAATAAGGATAGAATCATGGCTAAATGGTTAGCACTTCCGCCTGGCAGCATTGTGGTCGTTGGTTTGAATCCCAACCACGACACCACCTGCCTGAAGTTTGCATGTTCTCCCTGTGCCTGCGTGGGTTTCCTCCGGTACTCCGGTTTCCTCCCACACGTCAGACATGCTGGTAGGTGATTTGGATCCTGTCTAAATTGGCCCTAGTATGTAGGCGTGTAGGTTAGGGACCTTAGATTGTACACCCTTTGAGGGTTAGGGACTAATGTAAATGTTCAAAATATGTGTGTGTATATACAGTGAGGAACAGAAGTATTTGAACACCCTGCGATTTTGAAAGTTCTCCCACTTAGAAATCATGGAAGGGTCTGAAATTCACATTGTAGGTGCATTCCCACTCGGAGACCGAATTAAAAAAAAAAAAAAAATTCAGGAAATCACATTGTATGATTTTTAAAGAATTTATTTATCTTGCACTGCTGAACAGAAGTATTTTAACACCTGAGAAAATCAGTGTTAATATTTGGTACAGAAGCCTTTGTTTGCAATTACAGAGGTCAAACGTTTCCTGTAGTTCTTGACCAGGTTTGCACACACTGCAACAGGGATATTGGCCCACTCCTTCACACAGATCTCCTCTAGATCTGTCAGGTTTCGGGGCTGTCGCTGAGCAACATGGAGTTTCAGCTCCCTCCAAAGATGTTCTATTGGATTTAGGTCTAGAGACTGGCTAGGCCAGAAATAAGCAAGTGTGGGGAAGGGTCCCAAAAAATTTATTTATAACCCCCTACCCCCCTCCCGTTAGAGGGGATCTAGAGGAAAATGTATGTAAAGTTGCGAAACAGTGAGGCATAATGTCAAACAAACTGAGAAAAAGTTTTGATTTTGAAAAAAATATATATATATTTATTTATTTATTTATTTTTTATTTTTTTTTTTTAGAGCTTGTAAATTTCAGAGAGGAGCAAACTGACCTGAAGTCTATCACCGACCAATCCGCTCAAACTTTGCTGTGGACGGAGCTTTTCAGAGGTGAGCTGCTACTGAAAAGCTTGAATTCTTTCAGCTGGTGTCTAAAAGAGTTTTAAAGCGAACTCATTCTATGTGGAGGTGGGAAGCACTGAGACGTTATAAGAATAACTTTTCGTTTTCTGTCATGCATGGGACCATAGTTTAACATGGTTGTGTTTACACACTGCAGTCTAAAAGATATATCTTATTTATTTCCCATCTTTGTATTGTGCCTGCATGTCACTCTGTGCTTTTGCAGAGCATATGGAGCCATTCACTGCAGTCCTTGCCCCAATGAAATTTACAACTTAAATATTTCTTCTGAACTTGTTCACACCCTTGGGCTAGTTTTAGTCACAAATGGGTTAAAGGATATTTAAATCAAATCTCTTGTACAAGTCTTAAAAATACTCCCTCCCCTCTCACCTATCCTGACCAACTTGTGTAAGAAAAATGCATACCTGTTTTCAGGCCCCTCTGGTCCGATTACATGATCTGGCTCGCCTGTGTTAGCCTTCGCTGCTGCAGGGGAGAGAAGGGAGTGTTGACCACAAATGAAGTCTTTGGGTGACATCACCGCTCCAGGCTTTACCAGCCGTTTACGGACCACTCTCCTCTGTAGCTGGCTGACACAGGAGATCACGTGTTCAGAGAGGCCTGAAAATAGTTAGTGGTTCTAAAGGCTGACTGTTTTTTTTTTTTTTTTTTTTTACCTTTATGCATTCTATGCATGAAGGTTAAAAACCTTCTGTGTGTTGCAGTGCCTCCAGCCCCGAATACTTACCTGAGCCCCATTGAGATCCAGCAATGTGCATGACTGTCTCGGGTCTCTGCCTTCTCATTGGCTGTGACAGCAAGTGGGAGCCATTGGCTCAGCCAATAAGAGAGAGGGGGCAAGGCCAAGCCATGCTCCGTGTGTAAATGGACACATGAAGCAGCAGGTGCCCCCATAGCAACCTGCTTGCTGTGGGGGCACCTGACAAACAGGAGGAGCCAGTAGAGCTTGCGGGGGGCCCGAGAAGAAGAGGATCCAGGCTGCTCTGTGCAAAACCACTACACACAGCAGGTAAGTATAGACATGTTTGTTATTTTCCCCCCCCAAAAAGCAACTAACCTTCAGTTTCGTTTTAAGTGTACACATCTACAGTATATTACAGTTGCAAGAAAAAGTATGTGAACCCCTTGGGATTACGTGCAGTTTTGCATGAATTGGGCATAAAATGTGCTCTGAACGTCATCTAAGTCACAACAATAGAAGAACACAGTCTGCTGAACATAATACTACACAAACATTAGATGTTGCCATGGTTTAATTGCACATAACATGTAAACATTCACACTGCAGGGAGGAAAAAGTATGTGAGGCCCTAGCTTAATGACTTCTCCCAGAGCTAATTGGAGCCAGGAGTGAGCCAACCTTGACTCCAATCAGTGTGATGATATTGGATGTGTTGCTGACAGCTGTCCTGCCCTTAAAAAACACACCTGTTTTGGGTTTACTGGTTTCAAGAAGCACTGTCTGATGTGAACCATGCCTCGCAGAAAAGAGCTCTCAGAAGACCTACGATCAAGAATTGTTGACTTGCATGAAGCTGGAAAGGGTTACAAAAGTATCTCCAAAAGCCTTGATGTTCATGTGTCCACGGTAAGATGACGTTCAGAGCACATTTTATGCCCAATTCATGCAAAACTCCACGTAATCCCAAGGCGTTCACATACTTTTTCTTGCAACTGTACATAGGTGTTATGAGGGGCGAGGGAGGACTTCTAAACTGGCTATAAAGCCTAAACATTTTTTTTACCATACGGCATCCCTTGCTTCCTGCTCTCACAGGCTTTGCTATGGGAGCCATTGGCTCCCACTGCAGTCAATCAAAGCCAACGACAATGGAGCAGGAGGTGGGGCCAAGTCTCACTGTCTGCTTCACTGATTCCAGGCAGCAGAGCTCAGGAGCAAGCCTGCACAAGTGCCTCCATAGGAAGCAGCTTTCTATGGGGACACTCAACAAAGCGGAGGAGCCAGGAGCACCAGCGGGGGACCCAAGAAGCAGAGTTTCGGGTCGGCTCTCTGCAATTCCATTGCACAGAGCAGGTAAGTATAAACCTGTTTGTTGTTAAAAAAAAAAAATTTACAATCACTTAAGATTAGTTGGGCTTACCTGGAAATCTTGTTTTCATGTTCTTTCCAAGTTTTTTTTTGCCAGGTGGATACTGCAGCCTTATCTGATGCCAGCTTTGTGTGTTAAGTCTTTGAGCTGCAGACATTCTCCAGTTTTCGGTCTCCTTGGGCCTATTAGCAATTGTTTGTTATATTGCATAGCCCTTAGTTTGACTGATTTTGGCAGTCCCAAAGATTAGACTTCTATGTCAATGGGTGAGAAGGAAAATTAAATTGTAAATTCATTTTTTTTTTTGGAATTCATTGAGGTACACAAGTCCCTCCCCTCCATGTTTATTATGCTTTGGGTACTGCTTTGCTATAAATCTGAGGCATGTTGGTATTAGGAGAGGTTATCCTGGGCTGACCTACAGATTTTAATGTGGGCCATTGTATTGGTTTTTACCCACTAGATGGTGGTACTAGATTTGAATGTGCAACTAAAGGGTTAAAAGTACTGTAAAAAGCCGCTTCTTTTCACGCATGGTCACACCCTCAGAAGGTATGTTTTATCATATTTTATGTTTTTTGGTTATATGCAAATTTAGCGCTGTTTTATGAGAATCATCATGCTCATACTGGCTCTCTAACTGGCTTTGAATAATACCAAAACAGCAGCTCATTGATTGGGTTTTTGATTTCTTTCACCAATACATAAGCACATAGTTTGTATCCTCTCACGAGCATTCAGTCATTTTGTAGCCTAATAAACATGTTTTCCTAAAGTCAGCGAACTGTAGGGAGTACAGCTAGCCTTAGAAATACACCCCTGTACTCATGTAAACACTGATGTGCCTATGGATCAGGGCTTTTTTTTTGCTAGATATATCTCAGGCCTAATTGTGTCTGTGTGTATATGTAACCTTAAAACTTTTTTCCTTGCATAGGAAAATCTCAGGCTCACTTAATTCTGTAGCGGTTGTAAGCTTTATATTTTTTGTTTCGTGTTATTTCAGGCTTGGGAATGACCCTAAGTTACTTGTTCCGGGAGCCCGCCACTATAAACTACCCATTTGAGAAAGGTCCGTTGAGCCCACGGTTCCGTGGGGAGCATGCACTTCGCAGGTATCCATCAGGAGAGGAGCGCTGTATCGCCTGCAAACTTTGTGAAGCCATTTGCCCTGCCCAGGTATGTAGAATGGTATAAAATATTAGACAAGTCAATCTAGAACAGTGGTCTCCAAACTGTGGCCCAGGGGGCCGGATGTGGCCCTTTGCTTGCCTTTATCTGGCCCTTGGGGCTCTATTCCTCCCACTGACACTTTTTCCTGCCACACTGAAACGTCCTTCCAGGCTGTCTCCAATTTACAAGCTGACCTCAATGCTCTGTGTAATTGGGCAACTATGTGGCAAATGAAGTTTAGTGTTGATAAATGTAAGGTTCTGCACTTGGGGGGCTAAGAATATGCATGCATCATACATACTGGGGGGGAGGGGTACAACTGGGGGAATCAATGGTGATGGATCTGGGGGTTCTGGTAGATCAAGCTTAATATTGGCATTCAATGCCAAGCTACGGCTTCTAAAGCGAGCAAAATCCTCTCTTGTATTAAAAGAGGTATAGACTCCAGAGAGAGATGTCATATTACCCCTGTACAAATCATTAGTAAGACTTCATCTAGAGTATGCAGTTCAGTTTTGGGCACCAATTCACAAAAAGAACATTGGGGAACTGGAGAAAGTACAGAGAAGGGCAACCAAACTGATAAGAGGCATGGAGGAGCTCAGCTATGAGGAAAGATTAGAGGAACTGAATTTATTCACTCTTGAGAAGAGGATATTAAGGGGGGATATGATCTCCATGTATAATAAGGAGGGATATGATCTCCCTGTATAATACATAAAGGGGGATATGATCTCCCTGTATAATACATAAGGGGGGGTATGATCTCCCTGTATAATACATAAGGGGGGGTATTATCTCCCTGTATAATACATAAGGGGGATAGGATCTCCGTGTATTATTATTTTTATTATTATACAGTATTTATAAAGCGCTGATAGTTTGCTCAGCGCTGTACATTACAAAGGGGGACAGAACATGTGACAGAACAATAACAATACAATGCAAAACATGAGGGGATTGAGGGCCCTGCTCTTTCGAGCTTACAATCTAGGAGGGAGGGCATGGTGGCACAGGAGGAGATAGCTGTGGGGGATGGAGTGGTAGGAAGAGTGGAGGAGGTCAGCAAGTTAGCAGGGGGTGGGGTAGGCTTCCCTGAAGAGATGGGTTTTCAGGGTGCGCCTAAAGGAGAGGAGGTGATAATCTGATGGGTTGGGGCAGGGAGTTCCAGAGGATGGGTGACACCCTGGAGGCGGGCATGGGAGGAGGAGACCAGGGAACTAGAGAGGAGGTCTTGTGAGGAGCAGTGTGCATGCTGGGTGGTACTTGGATATTAGGTCAGTGATGTAGTTCGGGGCAGTATGGTGGATAGCTTTGTACGTCAGTGTTAGGATTTTGAATTTGATCCGTTGCGCAATCGGAAGCCAGTGGAGGGATTGGCAGAGGGGGAGATGGAGCGGTTGGAAAGGTGAATGAGTCTGGAAGCCGTATTCGGGATCGACTGAAGCGGGGATAGCCAGCGGCGAGGCAGGCCAGTGAGGAGGGAGTTGCAGTGGTCGAGTCGTGATGTGATGAGGGAGTGGTTGAGCTGTTTAGTGGTTTCTGGGGTTAGGAACGTGTGTATTTTGGCGATGTTGCGGAGGTGGAGTCTGCACGAGTTAGTTAAAGATTGGACTTGGGGCTGGAAGGATAGGTTGGAGTCCAGAATGACACCAAGTACTCTGGCCTGCAGGGCGTGTTTGATGGTGGTGGTGTTGGATGTGATGGAGAAGTCAATGGGGGGTGGTGTCCGGGCTGGGGGGAAGACAAGAAACTCGGTTTGGAGAGGTTCAGTTTAAGGAAGTGGAGCGACATCCAGTCTGATATGTCGCTCAGTAGATGTGTGATTCGGGCGCGGAGACTGTGGTGGGGGGTTGAGAGATAGATTTGTGTGTCGTCGGCATATAGGTGGTAGTTGAAGCCGTGAGAGTGTATGAGTTGGCCAAGGGAGGAGGTGTAGATGGAGAAGAGAAGGGGCCCGAGGACGGAGCCTTGAGGGACCCCAACAGAGAGGGGGAGTGAGGGGGAGGTGGTAGCATTATAGGTAACGCTGAAAGAGCGTTGTGACAGGTAGGATGAGAGCCAGGAGAGAGCAGAATCTCTGAGGCAGAGGGAGTGTAGTTTTACGAGGAGGAGGGGGTGGTCGACTGTGTCGAAGGCTGCAGAGAGGTCAAGGTGTAGAAGCACTGAATAGTGGCCATTAGCTTTGGCGGTTAGCAGGTCGTTGGAGAGTTTGAGTAAGGCAGTTTCAGTGGAGTGTAGGGGACGGAAGCCAGACTGTAGGGGATCGAGGAGGTTGTTGTCGTTGAGGTGAGAGCTTAGGCGGGTGTAGTCTAGGTGCTCGAGGAGTTTGGATGTAAATGGGAGCAGGAGAGATGGGTCTGAGGTTGTTCGGGTCATTTGGGTCCGGGAGGGCTTTTTAAGTATGGGGGTGCTGTGTGCATGTTTCAGGGGGGAGGGGAAAGTGCCGGAGGATGAGAGGAGAGATTAAAGATGTGGGTGAGGGAGCGTAGGATGGAGGGGGAGGGAGGTCGTAGGAGTTGAGGGGATAGGGTCGAGGGGGCAGGTGATGAGGCGGGCATCAGAGAGGATCTTGGAGACTTCCTCGATGGTAGTAAGGTCAAAGGTTTGAAGTGTTGGGGGGGCTTCATTATGAGGAATGTAGGGTGGGGTGGAGGTCAGAGCAGTGGTGGGGCCGTGGGAGAGGGGTGATGAGGGGGTAGCTGAGTGAGGGGGAACGGGGTTGTAGGGAGTTTGAGCAGTGACGAAGTCCCTGCGGGGTTATGTCGAGGGAGAGGGGGGATGAGGGGGTAGCTGTGTGAGAGGGCGTGTGAGTGAGTTGCGGCGGCGTCCTTGCGAATTGTGTCAATCTTGTTTTTGAAGTGATTGGCAATCTCAAGGGCAGTGAGTGAGGTGCTGGGTGGAGGTGGGGGGTGGCGAGAGTAGAGAGTTGACGGTAGAGAAGAGTCGGCGAGGATTGGAGGAGAGAGCCTTGAGGGTCGGGAAGTAGGCTTGTTAGGCTGCGTGGAGGGAGGAGGTGTAGGTGTGGAAGGCAGATTTGTAGCGGGGTGAAGGCTTGTTGGGATTTGGTTTTGCGCCATAGTCGCTCCAGGGCACGACTGTGTCGTTTGTGGGTTGTGGTGTGATCAGTCTGCCAGGGCTGGAGCGGTCGGGGTCTGATGTTGCGTGTGGTTAAAGGCGCTAGTGAGTCGAAGGCTGTTGACAGCGCGTTGTGTGTAGGCAGTCATAGCCAAGTCGGGGCAGGACAGGGGGAGGATGCTGTCGTGGAGTTGATCAGCTGCAGAGTGGAGGGGGGCAGGGTTAAGGTTGCGGAGGGTTACGACTGGTAGTAGTGTGACATTTGGAGGGATAGGCGTTGGAGGCCAAGGAGATAGAGAAGGTTATCAGGTTGTGGTCAGAGAGAGGGAAGGGGGTGTTTAGTGAGGTTGTGGGGAGCACAGCGGTTGGAGAAGACAAGATCAAGGATATTACCGTTGGAGTGGGTGGTGGATTGTATGCACTGTACAAGTGCAAAGGAGGAGGTTAAGTGGAGGAGATGGGATGTGTCCGGGTTGTCGAGGTTGGCAGGGATGTTGAAATCCCCAAGGATGATGGTGGGTAGCTCAGAGGAGAGGAAGAAGGGTAGCCAGGAGGAAAAGTCATCCAGGAAGCGGGATATGGATCCAGGAGGCCGGTATATCACAGCAATCTTCAGGGGGGTTGGGGAGAATAGTCGGACGCAGTGGGCCTCGAAGGAGGAGAAGGATAGGGAGGGGGGGTTTGGGAGGACTCGGAAGGTGATCTGCGGTGACAGGAGCAGACCAACCCCACCACCTTTACGACCGTTGGGCCTGGGTGAGTGGGTCCAGGTGAGACCTCCGTAGGAGAGTGCAGCAGGGGAGGTAGAGTCAGTGGCCTGGATCCAGGTTTCCGTAATCGCTAGGAGGTTGAGGGAGCGGGAAACAGAGGTCGTGGATGGCGGTAAGCTTGTTGCACACCGATCGGGGGTTCAGGAGTGCACATGAAAACGGAGGGGAGATTTTAGGGAGCAGGGGGACAGATATTAAGTTGCGGGGGTTGCGGCAGGACATGGAGACGGGAGGGGTGTAGTGTGGGTGAGGGAGGTGGTGGAGGGCCAGGATTCGGGGAGATGTCCCCCGCGGTTAGGTGGAGAAGGGTGAGCAAGGTGGCATGGGAGCGGGATGTGCAGAAGCGTGAGAGAAACTCCTAGTGGAGGTGTTCGGGTCAGTGGGAGAGTGGAGTAATAGGAGGAGGAGGTGGTGGGTGCCGTAGAGGGGTGAAGGAAGCATTGAGGACACAATATACAATTGTTTGGGAGGAGCAGAGGGATATAGTGAATGGATTTTGGGAACGGAGGAGAGGTAAATGAGAAGGAGTGGAAGAGGCATTTTGGGGAGGTGCCCGGGGAGGGCGGATAGGAGTGGTCGGAGGCTTGGTTGTCGATAGTCCAGCGGGCAGAGGCGTATCTCGTCGATATGTCTTCTGGTGGCTGGAGTTTAGGGAGAAGGGGGAGGGGATCAAGTGTGGATGGACGGTTTCCAGGGGCGCTTGAGTGGTGAAAGTCTGGGGTGCAGAGGAGTCTCCCGTTGTGGCTTTCAACAAGGGTTCAAGTCTTTAGGTCAAGTTGAGCAGGGGGTTTGTATGAGTGGAGGTGCTGAAGGCCCAGCGTCTGGAGGTGGAGTGGGCTAGGTGTTGGTAGGCGCAGTAGGGCCCGGCGTCAGTGGGTGTTGTGGGCCAGTGCATGTGGATGCTGCGGGCCAGCGACTGAGGATGCTAAGGGGCCTGGCGTCAGTGGGTGTAGGAGGCTGCGCAGCAAGCTCGCCTCCGCCGGATTGAACGGGGCTCGGGGCTGTGCGGTGGCAGGGGCACAGCTATGTGATACACAGTGGGGAGCAGGGAAGCAGATCTGGTAGTGGTGGTTTGCCCTCTTGGTGGGGGTGGTTGCTGCTTCTCCTCTCACTGTGGCAGCTGTAGGTAGGGAGGCGGTGGTGGTAGCTCCCCTTCTCACTGCTGCGGATGGTGGCGTCCTGGTTCGGGCGTTGGGCAGTAGCGAGGCTTAGAGACAGCGGAAGGCCGCAGGGGACAGGGCGCCCAGTACTCCTCCTGGGCGATGGCAGGACCTCGGGAGCGGCTGGTGAGGGTACCGACGGGGGCGGTGGCCCCTCAGGAGCGGAGATATCCCCAGAGGTTAAGAGAAGAAGGGTGAAGAAAGTAACATGGGAGACACGAGTGCACATGCCTTCCAGTCCTGGTGTTTGGGTCAGCAGGAGGTGATGAGAGCAGTAGTAGGGAGATGATAGCAATGAGGGGGAGATGTATAAGTTTTGGGGTGGAGCAGAGGGGTAAAGAAATTAGATTTGGGAACAGAGGATAGTAATATGAAAAGGAGAAGAGGGGACGTATTATATAAAGGTACACGGAGTGGGACTCAGGCATGTAAGAGATTTTTCCCAGGGTGTATGCTTGCAGTCTGTCCAGCAGGCAGTAGAGTTTCTTGCTGTTGTTGTGTCTTCCTGCTGCTTAAGTTCTCCTGCTTTAGTTCAACTGCTGTGTTTAACTGCTTCTTCTATGCACTCCTTCAACGCAGCAGTGTATAATGCATACGGGGGGGTGGATAGGATCTCCGTGTATAATGCATACGGGGGGGATAGGATCTCCGTGTATAATGCATAAGGGGGGGATAGGATCTCCGTGTATAATGCATAAGGGGGTTATAGGATCTCCGTGTATAATGCATAAAGGGGGATAGGATCTCCGTGTATAACGCATAAGGGGGGATAGGATCTCCGTGTATAACGCATAAGGGGGGATAGGATCTCCGTGTATAACGCATAAGGGGGGATAGGATCTCCGTGTATAACGCATAAGGGGGGATAGGATCTCCGTGTATAACGCATAAGGGGGGATAGGATCTCCGTGTATAACGCATAAGGGGGGATAGGATCTCCGTGTATAACGCATAAGGGGGGATAGGATCTCCGTGTATAACGCATAAGGGGGGATAGGATCTCCGTGTATAACGCATAAGGGGGGATAGCATCTCCGTGTATAACGCATAAGGGGGGATAGCATCTCCGTGTATAACGCATAAGGGGGGGGATAGCATCTCCGTGTATAACGCATAAGGGGGGGATAGGATCTCCGTGTATAAATACATCAGTGGTCCATATAGTGAACTCGGTGTACAGTTATTCAGCCTGAGGTCATCACAGAGGACAAGGGGGCACTCTTTACATCTGGAGGAAAAGAAATGTAATCTCCAAACACGGAAAGGTTTCTTCACAGTGAGAGCTGTGAAAATGTGGAATAGACTCCCTCAAGAGTTGGTTCTGTCTAGCTCAGTAGATTGCTTTAAAAAAAGTCTTGGATTATTTCTTAGATACACAGATTTATAACTGGATACTAACATTTATAGGTAAAGTTGATCCAGGGAATATCTGATTGCCTCTCGGGAGATCAGGAAGGAATTTTTTTTTTTTCTCCTGCAGGAGCAAATTGGATCATGCTTTGCTGCTGTTTTTTTTTGCCTTCCTCTGGACTGTGGGTGTAGGATTTGGACTGTGGGTGTAGGATTATAACTTTTTGTTTTTTCTTTTAATGGTCGAACTGGATGGACTTTTGTCTTTTTTTCAACCAGACTAACTATGATACCAGTGATGGGGCACTATTCCTTCCACTGACACCAAAGAAAAGGCATTGTTTACTCTCACTGGACTCCAGAACATTTTCTACTCCCACTGGCACTAGTCTGCCCGCCCCCCCCCCTAAAGTTTGAAGGACAGTGAACTGGCCCTTTGTTTAGAAAGTTAGGAGACCCCTGATCTCGAACATTGCCTAATGTACAACTATATAGACTTGTCCACCCAGCTCAGAGGATTTATCTCCATTATACATGTTTCTGGGGTATAGTTAATTTAGGAGTGCCTGCTTTTGTTATTTTGTCCCTGTTTGTTGGCTAGAACCCTAATCTGCCAAAACCATGTTTTATTTTTGTAGATGTAAATACTGCTCTGGATTGCAGTTTGCACTACACATTTGCAAAAGGTTTATACAGTGTGCACTCCTCTCACTGGGCTTTACAAGTCTGCACCGAGATGCGCATTGTGGACTTTTGAAATCCAGTGAGATGTAGAGTGCGCACTTCACGCTGCACTGTATACTTTCAGTGCACGCTGCATGTTGGAATTGCACAAATCCATGTGTGTGCTGCACATCGCAATTGCTTAAGCAACCTATCCAATACATGCTGCACTTCGCACTCCACAAAATCCACAAATCCAGTGACCACTGCATGATGTAATTGCACATAACCAGTGCGCACTGCATGTCACGCTGCACCCATCCAGTGCACGCTGCACTTTGGAATTGTACAAATCCAGTCCACACTGCGCATATCTAGAAATCCTAAAGCGATTGTAAAGGTTGTGTGTGGTTGTTTTGTTTTTTTTTTTTTTTTGTTTTTTTTTTTTTGCTTAAAGTAACAAACATGTTGTACTTACCTGCAATGTTTTTGCCCAGAACAGCCCTGATACTCCTATTTTCGGTTCTTCTGCTGATGCTCCTGGCTTCAACCCCCTGTCGAGTGCCCCCATAGCAAGCAGCTTGCTATGGGGGCACTTGTGCATGCTCATTCCCAAGCTGGCTTTGTGTGTTCTTTGACACACAGAACTGGCTGAGCCCCCTCCCTTTTCTCTGCTCACTGGCTGTGATTGACAATGACAAGATCCAATGGCTCCTGCTTGTGCCTGTTCAATGAGCAGAGAGCGTTGCTGCTCTTGTGCACATTGCTGGATCAAGATGGGCTCAGATAAGCATTTTTTAGCATTGCACTATTGTTTTGTGATGTTTATTATACTATATAGTATGGTATTGTGCTATCTTCTATGTTTTTTGACATCCTATGGAGACCTAGCGCATTTTTTTTTCTCTCATTTTAAAGTATTTGGGATGTTGACGGGGGGGGGAGGGGGGGGGGGGAACTGCACACAGAATGTTTTTTACATTCATGCATAGAATACATGAAAGGTGAAAAAACCTATCTTTTTAAATCCACTTTAATATTTTACATTTACGCTTCACAACCTGTAGTTTGGAACTATGAGTTCCTAGTTCCATGTCTGCATGGTTAATGACAATGATCAGGAACAACTCTGCTTCCCAATTATGTAAACAGCTTGTAATAAAAACATAAGAAGGGACATTTAAACAATGTACTAAATAAAAGTATTCTATGTCCTTAACCCAAGTAAAAATTATTTAGGTAGACCGTTTAATTCTAAAGTTATAAATTGATCAAAAACATATGGGCTGGTATCTAGACTTTATAGACCTCTGGTTACAAAAGGGTTAAACAGTCTACATCTGTCTATATAAGAGTAACAAGTGAATGTGTGAAACACTTGCTGACAAGGAGCAGAAAATGTGTATTTTCACTGGTCGTACTCCAGTAACAAAGCACACCTGTTATATGTGTACTGGTTTACTAATTCTATCACACAAATGGTTTTTGTTTCTCCAGGCCATCACGATTGAGGCAGAGCCTCGTGCAGATGGGAGCCGCAGGACCACGAGATATGACATTGACATGACTAAGTGTATCTATTGCGGGTTTTGCCAGGAAGCCTGTCCCGTGGATGCCATTGTGGAGGTAAAAGCCGTGGTGGCCCTGAGCTGTAAAGAGGTTTACTGCTGATCATCTTTTGTTATAGGCAAGAGGAATAGCAAGAGAGACTGTCACCAGCACACCAAGGATCACCAATATGGGTTCAAAAGTTTTTAATGAACGATCACATAGTTACAGCAAGGCGACGTTTTGGAGTCTCGCAGGACCCCTTCATCAGGCATGTGCATTTGGATTGTACACTTGCAGGCAAGAGGAATAGATGCAGGCTATAATAGAGAATGGCACAGCCTGTGTTTAAGGCTGGCTGGTTTGCATTGAAGAAAAGAGTATGCAAAAATTTTTATGTCATAAAAAAATGCCACGCATATAACCTCATATATGAATTAAAGCATCCAAATCATGTGATCATTCAACAACGGTGAATACAACTTAAGTTTCAAAAATTCAGTGTATTCACCGTTGTTGCATAATCACATGGTTTGGATGCTTTAATTCATATGAGGTCATAGATATATATGCGCTGCACTTTTTTATGACCTCTATTTTGTGTGTGGAAAAGCATGTAAGTAGCAGCAGCACTGGTTTACACAGGAATTTGAGGAGTTATTTGTTGCGCTGAAGTTTTTTTTTTTTTGTACACCAATGCTAACTTTTTAGCTGCTCAGCACAGCTGTTAGAACAGGTGATAGTGGTGGGAATCACTATTTAAAAAGAAAAATTTTTGTTGAGGCTGGACTGATTATAGGTACTGTGACCTGGAGGACTGAGATCATTAGCCAAGCGCAGTGGTAAAAGCGATTAGTCTATTTCTTTACAAACTGGTAGCTTTCTTCAGCTTAAAAAAAAAAAGAAAAACAAATATTTATTTATTTCAGGTACTTATATAGCGCCGTCAATTTACGCAGCACTTTACATATATATTGTACATTCACATCAGTCCCTAACCCTCAAGGGGCATATAATCTATGGTCCCTAACTTACATTAATGCATACACATACTAGGGCCCAATTTAGACAGGAGCCAATTAACCTACCAGCATGTCTTTTGGAGTAGTCTATATGCATGTGGCTCAATGTACAGCTATGGTCCACCACCCACATCAACCTTGTCCCATGCAGGTTTAAAGTCCCTGACTGCCCTAGGGGTCCCAAAGGCCCTCAGGTCACCAGCGATTTAGCTGTCTCCATTACAAGCAGTCAATCCTTTTGCTCCTTGTCTACTGCTTCACACTCTCATAGCCGGGTGCTGTCTGTTTTCTGTTCTTCTCTGGACTCGCATGCAGAAGGGATAACACCTTCAGTCCTTCAACCAAAGTTCCTGTAATCAGGGTTTGGAGGTTCTTTCCCACCCCAAATGGAGGGAGGAGGTGTGTGTCAGGAACTAGAATTAAGGAAACCATAGACACAAAATAAAATGATGCCGGATATAGATCAGCACTCCGAACCCAAGATGCAGAGATAAAGTTAAAACCTTCTTTTTGAAAGTAAATCGATCTGCATCTGACACCATTACACACCTTCCTTTTTTTTTTTTTTTTTTTTTTTTTTTTTTTTTTCCAATTCTGTTTTATTTTATTTTTTTATAAATCTATAACCAAGTTTTGTTTAAAGTAGAATTCCAGCCCAAACCTAACTAGTCCCCTCCCCCCTCATAACACCTATGCTGGCTAACCTAGAGAAAGATGTCTATACTTGCCTAATTTCAGCCCGCTCTGGTCCAGTCACATGATCTGGCTCCTCTGTGTCAGCCAGCAGTACCTGCAGGGGAGAAGAGGGAGCGCTGATAACAACTGGGACTTGGGAATCTGAGTGATGTCACCGCTCCTAGGCACTCTTAAGTGCTTCCTCGTCTCCCCTGCAGCTGCTGCTAGCACAGGGGATCACGTAACCAGACCAAAGTTGGCTGAGAGTGGGTAACTAAGGTCACTGGCCACTTTATTGGGTACACCTTGCTAGTACCGGGTTGGACCCCCTTTTGCCTTCAGAACTGCATTCATTCTGCATGGCATAGATTCAACAAGGTGATGGAAATCTTCCTCAGAGATTTTGGTCCATATTGAATGAGTTACTGTTGCCTTTCTATCCTATCGAACCAATCTGCCCATTCTCCTGTGACCTCTCATCAAGGCATTTTCATCCACACAACTGCCACTCACTGGAGATTTTCTCTGTTTCGGACCATTCTCTGTAAACCTAAAGATGGTTGTGCGTGAAAATCCCAGTAATCAGCAGTTTTTTTAAATATTCAGACCAGCCCGTCTGGCACCAACAACCATGCCACGTTCAGAGTCTCTTAATTTCCCTTTCTTCCCCATTCTGATGCTCGGTTTGAACTTCAAGTCTACTTCACCACATCTAGATGCCTAAAATGCATTGAGTTGCTGCCATGTGATTGGCTGATGAGCAATTTGTGTTACCAAGCAATTGAACAGGTATACCTAATAAAGTAGCCGGTGAGTGTATATACATCTTTCTCACAAAGGTTAATCAGCATAGCTGTTAGGGAAAGGGGTAGACATTGTAAAGACTAGTTAGGACGAGACTGGAATTCTACTTTAACCACTTGCCCTCCAGAGGATTTCCACACATCCCCCCCCCCCCCCCCCTTCCTGACCCGTCCATTTTTTGCGATACGGCGCTACATTACTTTAACTGACAATTGCATGGTCATGCACTGCTGCACCCAATGAAATTTGTCTTTTTTTGATCACCTCTGTGGTTTTTATTTTTCGTGCTATAAAAATGGGGAATCTCCAGCCGGTACCCAGGTGGAACAGGTTACATGTTCCACCAGTTTTCAAGTTTTTAGTATGGAACATGTAACATGTTCCAGCAGGCCCCCCCCCCCCCCCCCTTCATGACAGCAGGCTAGGGTTCTTTTCCCCACACCCACTGTCACAACCTGAAAACCGTGCAGCCATGCGGTGCGCAGTCCACACAGCCACGTTTTTCATTCACAGGACGCATGAATGCCTACAAGTAGCATCAGCCACTGTGGCTGACTGCTTGAAGTTCCCAATGAACTAAAAGGGTGCTGGTGAGCTCACTCGTAGTCCATTGATCTTCCTGTTCTTAAGTAACCGCCTGTCTGTAGGAAGTACAGGAGGTACAGGCAGACAACTCTGCTGAGAGTCTACAAGAGCCTGAGATAGTACCCGCAATCTACTGATCTCTGGAAGAAAAAAAAAAAAAAAAAAAAAAAAAAAAAAAAAAATATATATATATATATATATATATATATATATATATATATATATATATATATATATATATATATATATATATATATATATATATTGCACATTTTTACTTGCAAAAAAAAAAAATAGTGCATTTATATATGTTTGTTCAAAAGGTGAACTTTATCCTTTTTTAAAATGCTTAGCAACCAAGGAAGTGTTTTCTGTTTGGCCACTAGATGGCCCCTCTGTATTGTCAGTAGAGAAGGGAGTGCAGGGAAGAGGAAAGTGAAGTTTGGTTTTTTTTTTTTTGTATTGTTTCAGAGCCTATCTTTGAAGAAAACTTGTATTTCTTGGTCAGGCATTGTTGATTGCTACTTAATGAACAAAACTGTAGAACAGATTAGAGTGCTAGTGTACCCCACTATCCCTGGTAGTTTCCTGCAAAACTGCAGTGAGTTTCCATGATGTTATATAGTTGGTCTGGCTGAAAAAAAGACAAAAGTCCATCCAGTTCAACCATAAAAAAAGTTATAATCCTATACCCACAGTTGATCCAAAGGAAGGCAAAAAAAAAACCCCAGGAAAGCATGATCCAATTTGCTCCTGCAGGGAAAAAAATTCCTTCCTGATCCCCTGAGAAGCAATCGGATATTCCATGGATCAACTTTACCTATAAATGTTATATGCAGTTATATTCTGTGTATCTAGGAAACAATCCAGGCTTTTTTTTTTTTTTTTGAAGCAATCCACTGAGCTGGCCAGAACCAACTCTTGAGGGAGTCTATTCCACATTTTCACAGCTCTTACTGTGAAGAAACCTTTCTGTGTTTGGAGATTAAATTTCTTTTCCTCCAGACTTAGAGTGCCCCCTTGTCCTCTGTGATGACCTCAGGGTGAATAACTACACCGAGTTCACTATATGAACCACTGATGTGTGCACATTTTCTACAGTGAACCTGTTTTGGGAGAAGCGTGAAGGGCTGTCATTGCTTCCCTTACTGGACAAAGACTGCCATAATGTGCTAATATGCACCACATACAGAACTAGCACATTATGACAAACCTACCTTTTCAATGGAGCCCTTATCTTCTGCAAAGTTTGGTCAAGAACACACCCCTGGCATTCTGATTGGTCAACAGTATGCTTCATTGACTCCTCTTGTCAGTAGATGGTATTTGCAGCAGAGCCTGATTCGCTACTAGCACTGTATTCTCCCCGCTTAAGTGCTGCTGTGCTCATGATTACAGGAGACTGATAAATTCAGATACTTACAAGTGGTATTTAACCACTTGCCCTCCAAGATTTTACCCCCTTCATCACCAGGCCATTTCTTTTGCTATATGGCACTGGGCTACTTGAACTGCCAATTGAGCGGTCATGCAACACTGTACCCAAATGAAATTTATATCAATTTTGTCATACAAATAGAGCATTCTTTTGATGGTATTTGATCACTGGGTTTTCATTTATTTTTTTATGTCAACGAAAAAAGACCGAAAACTTTTGAAGAAACATATTTTTTCATTTCTGCTATAAGACACATCCAATAAAAATGTAATAATTTTTATTTATTTTTTTTTTTTTATACTGGTAATGGTGGTGATCAGCGACTTATACTGGTAATGGTGGTGATCAGCGACTTATACTGGTAATCAGCGGTGATCAGCGACTTATACTGGTAATCAGCGGTGATCAGCGACTTATACTGGTAATCAGCGGTGATCAGCGACTTATACTGGTGATGAGCGGTGATCAGCGACTTATACTGGTGATGAGCGGTGATCAGCGACTTATACTGGTGATGGCGGTGATCAGCGACTTATACTGGTGATGGCGGGTGATCAGCGACTTATACTGGTGATCAGCGACTTATACTGGTGATCAGCGGTGATCAGCGACTTATACTGGTGATCAGCGACTTATACTGGTGATCAGCGGTGATCAGCGACTTATACTGGTGATCAGCGGTGATCAGCGACTTATACTGGTGGTGATCAGCGACTTATGCTGGTAATAGTGGTGATCAGCGTCTTATAGTGGGACTCTGATAGTGTGGCAGACAATCTGATGCTGGCTTGTCGGTACACTAGCTGACGCTGACATCAGTAGTGCCACTATTGCTGTGATCAGAACAAAAACTTTTCCCCATAAATGTATTGGGACTTTTCATGTGACTTACACAAATTTATATAAACAAATACATTTTATTGAAAAAAAAAAAAACTTGATCAACTTATTGTACAAACCCCTAAAATAAACATATAAAGGTGGTTACAAAGGAACATGCTGACTTGCTGTGAAGATATAACCTCCTTCTTCAAGATGGTATAGAGAGGAGAGAACGGTGAGTTTTCTTCAGCTGGAAAACCCAACGCGTTTCAGAAGTCTTTTCTCAATGGTAAGCTGGAGAAAAGGAATGGCTAGGAAACTTTCATCCAATTCCTTTTAAGTTTAATCGACAAAATTACAGAAGATAGAAAATTCTCTTGTTAGTGTGTCCACTACCAGCACCTCACGGCATCCTGGGTTAGATGTTTACAAGTCGTGGGGAGAACAGAGGAAACCCTCAGAATTCTCACACTGGGTCACCCCAAAAAACACATTGGAACCAAATCAAAGGGAACGGGTAAAGTGCCGACATATCCAACAAAAGAGGACCACCGCTACATCACAGCCTGAGTACCAATAGATCACTGTGATCAGTAGATACTGTGATCAGTGCTAATACTAGTCACTGTCACTGTACTAATGACACTGGATGGGAAGCGGTTAACATCTAGGGGGTGATCAAGGGGTTATCCGTGTGCCTAAAATTGTTTGAGTGAACTTTGTTCTGCTTTTACTAAATAATCATGTTTTTTTGTTTCCCTGCAGCAAAAACCGCAAGATCGCTTCTCAGTGTAGAGCCTCAGTATTGTTTATCAACACTTGGCACTGTTCTGTGATTCGCTGAGCCGATCAGCAAATCCCGGCCATCAATCATTGGCTGGGACCCACTGATCGGCTTGTGCGGTGCTGAATCACAGCACAGCCAGGGTGGCAGGCCTGTGCACGTCCCCATCCTGGAAAAGCGGATCTCATACTATGTATGAGATTCAGCACAGAGCGACTGTTCAAGTATTATTTGGTTTATTTTCAGATTTGCCTGGAGTTCAACTTTTATCGCAGTTCTAATATCATCTTGATATCCTGATTGAATCGTAGTTAAAAGACAGCCAGCAGTGGGACTGAATCGTTTTTCCCCGTTTCTTGCAGGGTCCCAACTTTGAGTTCAGCACAGAGACACACGAGGAACTCCTGTACAACAAAGAGAAGCTCCTAAATAATGGTGACAAGTGGGAAGCTGAGATCGGCGCAAACATCCAGGCCGACTTTCTCTACCGCTGAGACTCCCTCGAACATTCAAAACCAACTTTTACGCACACAAATCAATAAAAAAAAAAATCCGCCCTACAGTTTGGTCATCATGCAGAGCAGCTATTAACGTGTCCACTCCGTGGCGGGGAGAAAAGCCCAGCCTAATGACTGGGGCCCTGCAGTGAAACAGTCCTATCCGTAGCCTTGAGGTGTACAGAGTGCTCTGTCCTGTTCATTAGTCCTTTCTCTTTATCCAAGGGGAGTCCGATGTGAGGAAACACCAATCCTAATGCCATGCCTGTGCATTGTATGTGTGCTGTAACACTGTAAAAGCCTATGGTTGCACTTCTGGATGGCCTGTCACTTTTGAGATGGTCATCATTCAACTTCAGACAATTTATGAACATTTTTGGTATGCATTGGGGGAGATTTACTAAAACTGCCGCACACAGAACCTCCTGCAGCTGTGCAGTTGGAGTTTAACTTCAGCTTGTTCAATTAAAGCGCTTTCTAACGGGTAATTTTTTTTTCCTTTTTTAGAAAATAACAAACATGTCTATACTTAGCTGGTGTGTGCAGTGATTTTGCACAGAGCAGCCTAGTTCCTCCTTTTCTTGGGTCCCCCACAGGCTCTCCTAGCCTGTCGGGTGCCCCTACAGCAAGCAGCTTGCTATGGGGGGACCCGCTGCTCTGTGTCCATTCACACGTGGAGCCGTAGCTTGGCCCTGCCACCTCTCTCCTCATTGGCTGACTGGCTGTGATTGATAGCAGAGGGAGCTATTGGCTGTCTCAGTCAATGAGGAGGCAGAGACCCAGGACAGCCGAGGCTGTCATAGACATTGCTGGATTGCAATGGGGAAAATAACAAACGTGTCTATACTTAGCTGCTGTGTGCGGTGGTTTTGCACAGAGCAGCCTGGATCCTCCTTTTCTTGGGTCCCCCGCAGGCTCTCCTAGCCTGTCGGGTGCCCTTACAGCAAGCAGCTTGCTATGGGGGCACCCCGCTGCTCTGTGTCCATTCACACATGGAGCCGTGGCTTGGCCCCGCCACCTCTCTCCTCATTGGCTGACTAGCTGTGATTGACAGCAGCGAGAGCCATTGGCTGTCTCCGTCAATGAGGAGGCTGGGACCCGGGACAGCCGAGGCTGTCATAGACATCGCTGGATTGAAATAGGGCTCAATTAAGCACAGAGCAGCCCAGATACTCCTCTTTTTCAGGTCCCCCGCAAGCTCTTCTGCCTCCTCCTTTGTCAGGTGCCCCCACAGCAAGCAGCTTGCTATGGGGGCACCTGCTGCTCATGTGTCCATTTGCACACAGAGCATGGCTTGGCCTCGCCCCCTGTCTCTCCTCATTGGCTGACTGGCTGTGATTTGACCACAGCAGGAGACAATGGCTCCCGCTTGCTGTCTCAGCCAATGAGACACCTGAGGCTGTCAGTTCACATCGCTGGATCTCGATGGGGCTCAGGTAAGTATTGGGGGCTGGGGGCACTGCTGCACACAGATGGTTTTTTTTACCTTCATGCATAGAATGCATAAAAACGTTGAGCTTTTACAACCACTTTAAGCTTTGACAACAAAACCCAGAAGCCGATTGGTTACTGTGCAGAGCTGCACAAGATTCTGTGTGCATCCTTTTTAATCTCTCCCATTGTAAAGTAAGTAGATCTATTCAGAGCTACGTATTTTCATAGATACGGTTGGCAATGTATTTATTCACATACGCTTTTATAGCACTGTGCCACCTAATTTTGCATTGTAGGATGAGGCAACAAAATTACTGACTTTGTACAACGTATAGCTTAATTTATTTCATTATTTTGTTCAGCCTATTGTGTAGGTAATCCACATACCTTACCACACCATGCAGCCAGCCTAACTCCAGGCTAGATTTTATTTATCAAAATATCTCTCCTTTATCAAAAATGTCCCCCAGCCTGTGTTTAAAGGGGGGGAAGCAGCTCTGACACTTGCTTTCAATCCAGATCTGTTTCCCATAGTACCTTTTATTTACAGTACAAGATGTCCTTAGTCTTCCAGGTTGAATGATGCCCAGTATGGCTCAATATGGAAGGCTGAGGACTGTACTGTGAATGCAAGAAATTTCGGGACTGACTCATCACCTCAGCACCGCTCTTTGTATTAGTAGGGACAACCCATCATGGACCCTGTCGTAGCACAGGACTGGAATGAAGACTTTGGAAAATGCAAGTATATAAAAAAAAAACACTCTGGGGGACCTTCCAGAAAGAAGGGGCTGCCCAGGTGGTAAATGTGAAGCTTGGAGTTGGGCTTTTAATGACCATTTTCTAAGCTTTGTAGCATCCAGTGTTTCCCGATTTTGCTGATTGGAGTGTAGGTGAGTATCATCGGACTGCTGATTGGACCATAGGTGAGCAGCATCGACTGCTGATTCATTGTCCAATAGGCAGGCAGATGAAATGAGAAGTGGCAATATTGAAATGGGAATTAGTGGTGAGACTTGCTAAGCTATACTGCAGAGTGCCAATAATGTGTTGATCTGAACAGAATTACATATATTTATTTAAAGCTTGTAATTAGCTGTTTTCCGGAGGTTTTTTCTCTAGGCCTGACACCTCATTGGGTGATGTCTGTTTCCCATCACAGTGAGGAAGGTCAAAGGTGCAAATTTCTTTCCTGCAACCTAGGGTTGCAAGAAATAAATTCGCCTGGCTCCCTCATCAACACAGTGCTGACAGGGGAATCCCTCCTGCTGAGCAATTTTCCTCTCCTGGCAGGAGGGTAGTGGAACCCGTCCCTGCCAGGAGAAGACAGTAATTATCACTAGTGGCTTATAGCAGGCACTAGAGATAATCGCAAGTGAATCTGGCAGGCTGGTTGGACCCAAGTTGATTATTCGATCGATCAGTTGGTACATTCACGCTCCCCACACAGTTTGAATCTGGGCTGGTTCCTGCTGAACCGGCTGAGATTCGAATCATCTATGGCCAGCCTAAGTAATGTATGCTCTAAGAGGCTAAACAAGGTATGGGTGGGCATGTATAGTTGCAAAGTTGGTTATTTTGTTGCATGAGGTCTAGAACGGTGGTTTGAGCTTTCAGCGTGTTCTCATTTGCTGTCATTGGTGTTCTCCAGCCTCTAGGATTCTGGGAGGAAAGCTTTGGTGGCTCCAGCAATAGCACTGCATATCTGTGCCTCTGCTGTCATAATATATTTCATAATAAAAATCTGATTTTTTTGTTTGAATGTAAACTGTACATTGTGTGCAGACTTTTTGGTCTTAAAGAATTGCTGTACCACACGAGTAACAACCAGTAACCCACTGGAATCTGCTCTCTTTATACCCATTCAAAGCACACCATTTACTTTTATTTGTCTTTATTAAAATTAGCCAAACATTTTTTTTTTGTTAATTCTGTTATTTAAAGAACTACTATAGGTAAAACTTTTTTTTTTTCCATTTTATATAGAGTAAATTAGGGTTATAACCGCTGTCAATTTATTTTTTGCTGTGTCCCATTGGGGAGATTTACCTTCACTTCCTGTCCCATAGCCGGAAAAGGAAGTGAGAAAATATCTGCAAATTAAAAGAATTCCTTGGGGATCCCCAGGTCATCACAACTAGTGTCCCCATTAGAAGGTTTCCCTTCCATTACTTTTCTGGGGGGGCAACCCAAAATTTGGAGTCTTTTTTTTTTTTTTTATTTTCACTTTCATAATGGTAAACAGGACAAATAGAGGGGGGAATCTCCCTAACGGGGGCACAGACAGCAATAAAAACTGGTGGTATACTCCATCTCTAACCAAAAGTTTAAAAAAATGCCTTTAGTTCTACTTTAGGTCCCTTTCAGACGGGCGTTCAGTTTTTGTCATCAGTTCAGTCACGGTTTTTCAAAGAAAAAAAAACGTATCAGTTCACACCAAGTTTTTCATCAGTTCACACCACGTTTTTCATCAGTTCACGCCGGTTTTTCATCCATTCTTCGCGCCAGTTTTTTTTCATCGCCGTTTTTTCATCCGTTCTTCGCGCCAGTTTTTTCATCCGTTCTTCGCGCCAGTTTTTTCATCCGTTCTTCGCGCCAGTTTTTTCATCCGTTCTTCGCGCCAGTTTTTTTTCGTTCTTCCGTTTTTCACTTCGCGCCAGTTTTTTCATCCGTTCTTCACACCAGTTTTTTCATCAGTTCACACCTTCAGTGTGGGGGCTGAAGGTCCTCTTTAACATTCCTTAGAAGGGAAGATCTTAAAAAGATGTTTCAACAGGTAAATGGGTAGAAGTAATTTTTGAGGATATACCATGTGAGCGGGAACATGTAAGAAATATAAAGTAGGTGTTATCCCAATTTGGCTTCTAAAGTGGAAATACACTTTATTATGACGTGCATTCCCTCATCAGGGTGTGGGACTAAGCTGGCTCCCTTCATCTATATTACATAAGTACATGTACCTTCTCTGTAGCGGATGTCTATGGGAGTGTACCCCCTGGAGCATGTACTCCTCATCCACGTTGCAGTGAGCCGTGGTCACCATGAAGGTGTTGGAAGCCAAACACAGACTGTTGATGGGATTATCTGCCATGGAAAAAAAATAAAAAAATCTCCCTCCCTGCTCCTTGGGGAGATAGACACGGACTGACAGAGTTCACAAGAGTTCTGCAGATAGCTGAGATAGGTATGTGTACTTGTCTGTGGATGTTCTCACATATCCATGTCATAGTATAGCTTAGTATATATATACATCGATCAGCCATCATTTTATAACCACTGACAGGTAAAGTGGCATCTGAATTTGGTGGGGATATATTAGGCAGTAAGTAAATATGCTGTCCCTGAAGTTGATGTGCTGAAAGCAGAAAATATGGGCATCGAAGTTTGTGGTGTATGGGGCTGCGTGGCCACAGACCGGTCAGGGTTCCCATGCTGCCCCATGTCCACCATCAAAAGAGCCTACAATGGGCTAAGTAACTATACTATAGGACGCTGACCCAAGGTGATTCTGACAGCTATTGGGGATCAGGAAGGATTTTTTTTTCCCCATTTAGAGCAATGTT